TATTCGACTTTCTCTGAAAACCTTTTATGTGCAATAGCTTAAAAACTACGCAACCGATTTCAATTTTTTTTTTCAAAATATTTGTTTCGATGCCTTCTATCCCACTCGGAAGCTTACTACCAATGGAACTGGTAGAAATGAAAGAAAAAGAGTTATAACACATAAAGTAACGTACAGATGGCTTCGGCCAAAAAGGCTCGAACCCCTGCATTTTTGTGATTTCCATAAGATCACGCGTTAACTCACCACTTTTTCAAAAATACATAATAAATTAACCATGCTCCCCAGTAATCTGAAACTTTGCACACGCCTTTTCCATCATTTACAGAATACGTAAAAAAAAAGAAAATAATTGCTCCTTTTTTTCCAACCCTCCGGGCTCGCCCGATTATCCTTAATAAATTAGAGTTGAAAAGAAGGCTAAAGCAAAATTCATTCAACTTTTTTTTTTATTTCTTTAATTTTTACCCACCTTATTTGAATGCATTTGCACGCATTTAATTAAGAAAACAAATGAAAATGTGTTCTTCCTCCAATTCGAACGTTCTTACTGTTGCATTTCATGAAAAAAAATGTTAGAATGATCGATATATTGAATTGAATTAGTTTATAATTTTTGTTTTCAGAGTGGATACTTGAATCAGCTAACGAAAAATAATATATTGTGTTGATAGTGCGTAAAGTTTCATTTTTTCGTACACACGTGTGACATATTCTATTTTTTATGAGTTCACTATTCGGAACGGTAGTGGGGGAAAAGTGGTTGTTTTTGTATACATGTGCGTAAAGCCCAAGAGCTGCGTAGAGTGAATTTCGAGTGCGTAGCACTTTTCAGGCAGGAAAACGTGAAAAAAATAGCACTACTTTTGATTTTTTTCTCGCCAGCAAATTGAAGTCTCCCCTCAGAACAATTATAAATTAATTTCATTCCCAATATCGATTATTCTCACATTTTTTGAGCATCATAAAACTGTTCACATTGCAGACAGAAAAATATATATTTTTTTTCAATGAAATGTGTTAAGATATATTCAAATAAGGCGAGAAAAAAATTTGAAAATTGAAACAAAATTTTAAAAAAATCTCTAAATTCTAATTCTCTTAGAATTCTTTAATGCCTAAAGGAGGTTAGGCGGTGTTTGAGGTGAATTTGAGAGTGAATTTCTGTGGTTTCCGGTAGCTTAGTCGGTAAGAGTGCCCGGCGCGTATCTGGGAGACCCGGGTTCGATTCCCGACTGGGTGAAGCGGAAATTTTTTCTCTCTAAATTCTAATTCTCTTACAATAAAAAAATTTAAAAAAACAAGACAATTGGGTATGAAATTTTATTTTCTAAAATTAATATATTGAGTTGAAGGGGTTGGAACCTGTTCCTGATTCCGTATAAACTCCTCTATTTGTCTTCACAAATACACAATCAAAAAATCTGAAGAAGTTTATAAACAACATTTTCTCATCAGGAAACGCTCCCAACTTTTTCAGAATTTTTGATGATGTAGAAATATTTAGGTAATATAACCTCACTCGACTTACTTCCCCGTCCCTTATGGAAATTGCCGACCATCGACGAGCACGCACGTAGTCGTGAGCGTGTTCCACGGTGGTCAATACACCATCGACTCTCATCAGGAACGAATCACAAAAAATGATCCGGGCGCACATCGGTGCAATTATCGGGAAATTCATCGGTAAAGTTATCTAACATGATTGTAAATTATCCGGCAGTTATCTAAATATTCCGTGTTTGTACAATCCACGTCGGTAAATCAACTATTTATTAGAAATTCATCGAGTGTATATTTCAGGGCACTAAGTTTTTAAATACAGTGACAATCAACGAAACTCATCGTAATTTATTCTCCGGCAATTCATCCCACTTCACTTACCCTCCCGACCTCTCTATCATCAAAATCCCACAAGATTTTTAAGACCCTCATATATCGCAAATTCTATAAACGGCAATAATACTTCAATTTACGTGCTTACACAACCCGAAATCTGCAAATTTTCAAGAATTAAGGGTTCATGTACAACCGTACAGCTAATTTGACGAAATGATTTGGTTCCGTTCTAGTAATTTGGTAGCAGTCATTTTTTGTAGTTTAGGCTAAACCGACGGGCCACCTGTAGATTAGCCATACGACCCGTACATTATCCGTATCTTACCCGTAGATCACCCGTATTTGGTGCGAATGGTCACACCGTTCAGTGAATAATAGTAAACCAACCTAACTGAATTTGTGCGCATCATCACAGTATTTTGAAATGTTATTTTCAATTCCATCGATACTGAGAAGATGTATATGAGTCTATGGATCTGGGAATCCCTAAGAATTTCAAAAGTGGAGAAAAATTAAAGCTTGCTCCAAAAAATGACCCCGAAGACGCCCAGCATTTTTAGAAAATTATCAATCAAGTAAAGGAGAGTTACTTGATTGTATATTAGCTGAAAAATACCTTCTACTATCCATCTTGCCAAAGAGTTAGAGTGCACATAAAATTCACGATGAGTTTGGCGTTTCGCGTCATTTGGCAGAATCCGTGAAAAAATTGGTTGCTGAACGGGGAATTCTTATAACACTTCCACCCAAACGTGATAAAACTTTGAACAATTGTGTAATCAAATCGATTGATGAATTCTATAATTCGGATGATGTGAGCCGACCTCTAGCAGGCAAAAAAGATTGCGTTAAATACGTTGTCGATGGTGAAAAGAGAAAGGAAATTACATGTGGAGAAAAATCCATAAATTTAACATTTTGGACCAATTATTTTGCATTTTGGGTTCAGCTTCGTAAGCGTTTGATGGTATTTATTATACGAGATACTTACAATTTCCTCAAATAGCTTTTAAAAACCCCAGAGCATCTTGTAGGTTTTTCAAAATGTGCATCCCTCCGAACTGAATACTGTTTTACCTGGAAATCGCGAAACTCATTCGGTGTGTGTATGAATCATACATCAAAATATGAAACTGCTTCTCCATGCATTGAATTTAGAATCACTCGGCACAGAGAATAGGAAATGGTCTTATGAAGAGATTTTGAAACAAATTGTCTGTGACTCCCCAACAGAATTATGTTTCATGGGTAAGATGGAAAATACTACGCTAATTAGTGACTCAGAGTTTGACATTGATTCTACTTCATATCATTTTTCAATTTAGCAAAATGTACGAATTGTCCTGGTGTTAAAAAAGTAGTGAAGAAGATGGAATCATTGAAAACCAGATTCTCTGATATCAAAACAATTCTAGGAGCGCGTAGTTATGACTGTTTCATACCGGCGTCTATAGGAACGGTTATGGCTCAAGTCGTTTCAGACTCTGATAAATATCATATGATCAGAATAACAGAGGATTTATGGTCTCTTCAATCGGTTCAGTCGGAAGTAATGATTGTTTATGATGAAAAAATGTGAATTGGAAAGATTTTTGAGAAAGACTCAACTGTTAAACAATTTAGCGCAACCCTAATGGAACCTCATGGTCCTTCTGCATCCTACCAATTTTCCTAAGACAGAAGCACGGTGAAATTCTCATCTGAAACGATTTTATGTGAAGCTCATAAATATTTCATTTATTTGTTAGATGAAGACCTTCAAAAATTCTAAATAGATTGTTTTTTTGAACAAACGAATTCTGATTTTATGTAGAAAATTCCCTAAACACCTCGAACAAATGTCTGACAATTCGAAAATAGCTCAGAATAAAAATTGAGAAATTTCATTTTGCGATAATTGAAAAACGATGGGAAAAAATGATTGAAATTCTACTGAAATGTAGATCTCTATGGTACAAATATTGTGCAGAATTTTCACATTAAAAAAATGAAGTTTCAGAGTAATTCTCGTTTATCTAAAAAAATATTTTCAAGATAACGACTTTAAAAATGCATGAAATGAGGAGTATTTAGGCTTATTTTGAAGGTTTTGCAATATACTTCCAACTGCTCAAAACGAAATTCTGGTACATGTTAATTCAGTACAGTTATTACTAAAAATGAGAAGGTTTTCTTCATATTCGAAACAAGCACAAAATTCCCAAAAAATCAGAACTCATTCAAATAATTCTTTTTTTTAGAGGAAAATTTAACAGAAACTTTATTTAACGATAAAGAATATTTTAAAAAATCAAAAGCGCAATCGCGAACATCGATTTTTTTAGACTGCTGATTAGACGTAGAATCGCTCATAAACGACTATGGACTAGATCCCAGCGAGACATCATGCCGCGCCAGGATGAAATATATAAACAACAAGAGATTTTGGGAAAAATTTCCGTTGCAAGGAAAGCAATTCAACTAAAAAATAAACTACTGAAATTGGGTAAAGAGGAATTGAATACTCGAATACTCGAAATGTGAAATTATCTAATGATGATGGACAACATTTTGAATTGGTTGATCATCAAAAGCAATTCAGAATAACTGATTTCAAAAAGCGTCGAAAACTTAGACATCAGAATACCCCAAAACCGGCATTTTCGAGTAGAAACGCCTCTGAAGATGTTTGGTGAGGAGCTAGGTATAGGGTGGATATGGGATAAAATGTGGAAGGAGATGCTGAAAAATTAAATTCAGATGGATTATGAAAACCACCGTTTATTGTGGGATCGAACCACGTCATTAAGTAAATTCTTTGTACATTCTTTGGTAATAAATTTCACTGTTGAGAGTCTTAAAGTCACTAATAATTGTCTGCAATTTAATAATGCTGAATCACTGATATTAATCGAAATTTAACTGAAAACTGTGGTGATGTACTAAACGAAAGTGTTAAATTTGGAATGCTATTAACGCGTGACTCTACTATATCATTACTGATACGATACTGTAACACAACTGAACTGACTGCCTCTTTCGGGTGCTGCGCTGACCTGTGTCCGTTGACCCGAAGGGTCACGGAGATTTTCGGAGATGGCCGAGGTAGTCAACCGTTAATAATATGGAGATTTAGCTGCGTTTCGAACACCCCGGGGGCAATTCATTTTCGGGATGATGAGTTAATGGTGAGTCTGTTTCTGTTGAGCTTCTTCTGTATCATCTTCTGGAGGTTGTTGTAGAGGTGGTGGATCTGATGGCAGTAGACAGAGCTTGGTGATTGGTCTATCAAGCTCTGTGTAGGTTGTCCTGTTGTTCTAAATGATTGGTGATCCATCAGGCAATCTGTGTACTTCTGCCTTTGCTGTTCTAATGATTGCGACTCTCGTCAGCCCGTCAGCTCCTGGGCGTGTCGCAATTACTCGTCCGATTGGCCACTGTGCTGGTGGATAATTTTCGTCAATCATCAGCACCATGTCACCAACCTTGATGTTCTCTTCTCGATGTGTCCACTTGAAGACACTCTTTGGCTCACCTGGACCAGAACTGTTGAGTTGACTGCGCTACCGGGTTCCACCTCTGCAACTTGCTGGAGTTCTTGTCGATGATTGATGGCTCTGGTATCAATTGGATAGGCTCACCTATCAGGATGTATCCTGGGGTGAGTACTTGGAGATCGTCTGGGTCATCTGATATGGGACAGATTGGCCTGGAATTTAGGCAGGCCTCTACCTGGATCAAGACACTGTTGAGTTCCTCACATGTAAGGGTTGTTGTCCCCAAGACTCTTCTGAGGTGATACTTTATTGATTTCACTGCTTCTTCCCACTTTCCACCAAAATGGGGTGTTCGTGGTGGTGAGAAGCTCCATTGAGTCTCATTGGTGGCGAAAGCAGCCTGAATCTGTTGATTTGGATGCTTGGTGATAGATATTCTCTAAGACCTTTGCTGCGCCCACGAAGGTAGTGGCATTGTCACTGTACATGACAGCTGGAACAGCTCGTCTTCCGGTGAATCTCTTGTAGGCTCCGATGAGGGCTTCTGTTATCTGTCTGGTGACCAGCTCTGAGTGAACTGCTGATGTGATGAAGCACACGAAAACTGCAATGTGCACTGACCCTGGTTGTGCATTCATTGGTCTCCATTTGAGGATGGCAAATGGTCCTGCATAGTCCACCCCTGTGGGGAGAAATGCTCTTGCTGCTGAGGTTCTCGTTGCTGGTAGTTGACCCATTTGTTGCTGGGCCTGTCTTCCTCGGTGTCTGGTGCAGATGGAACAGCGTTGAATGTACGCTCTAACTGTACCTCTGCCACCGATTATCCGATACCTTTGACGTGTGTAGGCCAAGGTGAGTTGAGTCTCTCCGTGGAGAGTCCTGCGGTGAGCTTCTTCAATGACTAATGTGGTGAGGCGTGACTGGCGAGGCAAGATTATTAGTTTAATTTCATCTGAATTTAACTGTGAGTTCTTGAGGCGTTCTCCAAGTCTAATGATCCTTTCGTTGTCTAGAGTTGGTGTCAGTTGATGATTTATCGGCAGTTAGTGAGTTTCCTGTAGTACTCGAATAGCTAGCCCAAAGTATTGATGTTGTGTTATCTTTACCCAAAATAACCTCGCTTCATTGAGTTCTCTTACTGCCAAGACAGATCCCGAGAGCATTGGCTGCCTCCTGAATTTGTTGATTGCCCTGTTGATTGTTGTTGTTACGGCTTGTAGTTTAGTCATCGTCTGATCCCTGGTGAGTAGCTCTGCGATTTCGTTGATTTTAATTGTAACTGGATGTGCTGGTGCTGATTTTGCTTCTTTGGCCACCTTTGAGGTGTCCATGGCTGGAGCATCGATTGATGATCGTCACCACTCTTGAAGATCCTGATTGATTCACCACAAACTCGGTTTTTTGAACTTTTCCGATTACAACGTTTCTCATAAAAAACTCTTTCAAAAACAACTTCTTTACAAATAACTTTGTTAAAAACCCGAATATTTGTTTGTGTTTTTCCATTTTTATTTCTATTCTCAGAAATTGGGCTGTATTGCTTATTTAGTTTTAGTTCCCTTGTATACCTGAATTTCATAATAATCTAGTGGAGATGGCAATAATAGAATTGAGTGGAATCGGTAATCACGCTGTTACCGCATTTTTCGTCAGCTGTAAACATCACTGTGCGTGAGCTGGTAGCAAGAAATTCTTCAATGTTGAATCAAACCGCGGTTTTGCTCGAGCAGTTGGGTGCAGGTCGTGACATCTCGTCTCGTAAACGCAAGCGTTATGTTGCTTATGATGAACGTTTGAGTGCTGTTGTTCGTGATCACGCTAATCGTTCGTACATGAAATATTTGAAAGGAATTGCTCTAAACATCACCCTTTAATTGCATTTTTTTTTGTCTACTACTCATTTATTTTGTTAATAAAGTTTCGTTCAATTTCATTGATAGTCGTTGGTTTTTCTTTTTCATCATTGATTATTTTTCAGGTAGTTTTTTGAGTTGTTTTTTAATGGGATTTTTTATGAGAGAAGTTGTTTTTGGGTTCGGTTTATTTAACGAAGGTTTTTTTAAACCAAGTTTTTTTGACGTAAAGTTGTTTTGACGGAGTTTTTTGACGGTAAATATTTAGACATGGACCCGATGATCTGCTAGCTGGCTCGGTGATATGCCTCTGGAAGCACTATCAGCTGGATTCTCCTTCCCAATGACATAGCTCCAGGTAGCATTCGGGAGAATTTCCTGGATCTTGATAACCCTGTTGTGAACGAAGTCCTTCCATCTTGATGCGTGGCTCCTGATCCAAGCTAGTACGACTGATGAATCAGACCAGAGGTAGGTGTCTACCTGGTCGAGTTGAAGTATCTATTGTGTTGATGTCACTAGCTGAGTCAGTAGGAGAGCTACTGTGAGACGAGGGACGGTCATGCGTTTGAGAGGTGCTACCTTCGTCTTCGCGCATGCCAGCACTGTTGATGTCGAATCGTTAATGGTCTTGGTGCGAATGTACACAACTGTACTTATGGCCAACGTTGAAGCGTCTGCAAATTCATGGATTTGAATGTTGAATGTCTCTGTTGAAATTCTCAGCCATCTTGATATAGTAACTCTGTCTAGGTCGTTGAGATTCTTTCGGAATGTCTTCCAGTGTTGTTCGTACTCGTCTGGAAGAAGATTATCCCATTTTAACCTCTGTCTCCAAAGATCTAGTAGGAGAATCTTTCCTTGGACAGCTGGTTGCGATGAATCCCAGCGGATCAAAAATCTGGGCTATCTCTGAAGAGACTACACACTTGGTGATTGTCGTCGAATTAAATTCTCTTGATTGGTATCTGAATGTGTCGGTAGATTGATGGCAACACACTGCAAATACCTTGGAGATTAACTCCTCAAACTGGATAATGTCTTCTTCCATTGATAGCCCTAACTCATGCAGGGCCTCTGAACAATTGCTGCTTCATTTCTGTAGAGAGAAGCCTCCTGCAATGGCAAAGCCCTTGTAGCTGCGTTGCGATCTCCTTGAGACCGTCTTCTGTCTCTGTACCACCGGAAATATCGTCAACACAATGACGTCTGATGTATCTACTGCTGCTGGGAAGTGGTGCCCTTCATCCTCTGCTAGTTATTGAAGAACTCGTAACGACAACCATGGAGAGCAATTCAGTCCGTAGGTGACTGTCGTTAACTGATAGGTGACTGGTTGTTGATTCTCTTCGACTCACAGGATCCTCTGAAGGTCGCAGTCATCTTGGTGAACTTGTATTTGGCGGAACATCTTGACTATGTCTGTGCCAAACACGAGCCTGCGCCTCCTCAGCCACGTCAGGATAATCAGATTTTTCACCAGAATATAGTATATCATTAAATGACACCCGATGAACTAGGGCTGGAACCATTGAATACGACTCTCAGCTTCGTGGTGATGGCCTCCTCTCTCAGTATCCCGTGGTGTGGTACATAATAGGCTGGCACGGTTTCAGGAGTTTCTGGCGCTAGTGTCATGCATCCCAGTGCTTCCTACTCATCGATGAACTCTCTGTACAACTGGGCATGCTTGATCTGTGTTGAGTCGACTTACGATCGATTTGAGTTGACGTGCTGCTCTGAATTTCGATTCTCCAAGCGTTGCTGCTGAAGTTCTGAGGGGCAGTCTCACGATATATCGCCCGGTGTTGTCTCTGCTGCGAATTGCTCTGAAGTGCATCTCGCACTCGTACTCATCTGCTGATAGCTTCGACGTTGCTGATCTCTCTTTTGATAGTTCTTTCTGGACCAGAAATCTGTGGAGAAGCTCTAGAAGTTATTCATTCGAAGATTCTTGTACAGCCGATAGAGATACCTTTATTGAACAATTTGTGCATTCGATTGGTCCGGATAGTATTCAACCGAATACTGTGCGTTGGCCAACTACTCTCGATTGCTCAGACTTGACACCCTCATCTTTGATGATCCGCCCATAGTTGTCAGCCCCTATGATGATGTCTATTGGTCCAGGCCTTAGATACTGGGGGTCGGCTAGCTGAAGATTCTGAAGTGAGCCGACCCTTGCTGATGAGCATCACAATGATGGGAGTATTGCGGTGAGCTTCCTTAGAATGTGGGCGTTGAGTTGCACTTGATGAGCCCCGTTGCTCGCTTGTAGAGTGACTGACACTATTCCTCTGGTGTGTCCTGAATTAATTTCACTAATTCCCACTAGCTCCACTGTTGATGCTCTTCTCTGTAGATGCAGTTGATTAACCAATTGTTCGGAGATAAATGATACTTCTGAACCTTGGTCGATGAGTGTTCTGGCTTTGATCGTAAATCCTCTCGGTGATAGTACTTTTACTCGTGCTGTTGCCAACAGCACTGACTGTTGATCTGCTTCTCCTTGGTGACTGTCTTGGGTGATGTATTTTGCTTTCTCATTGATCATCTTGCTGTTGAGGTTCACTGCTACTGGTGGTGATGTACTGCATTCTAAAGTTGAGAAATGATCAGTAAGATGGTGAATGAGCTAAGAATTATGGATTCATTCACTCACTTTTCCCTTGATCATCTTGCTGCCTGGATGTTCCGGCAGTCTGGATGGACTCAGCTGGAGTGCGTCGGATTGGAGGCGGGCTCATCGTCCATGAGCTCCCTCCATGGATGAGAGTGTGGTGATATTCACTGCATTTGTGGCACTTCCTGTCCGGCGTGCATTTAGCCTTCGTGTGTGGCCCCAAGCAGTTGAAGCACAACCCCTTGGTAACCATGATAGCGTTCCTCTTCGTTGGTGTGAGCTCGATGAACTTCTGGCAGGATGCGATAAAGTGTTTGTCCTGGCAATAGGCACAGCAATTCCTGGGTAGCACCCTCTCTGGGTCCTTGTCATTCTGCTGGTGAGTTGCTGTTGTGAACAAATTCTTTTTCTTGAATGATGGTTTTTTCGTGGCTGTGTTGAGGTCCGTAGTGGGTGGGCGAAGCTTTGCACCTGCGTTGATGCCTCTTCCACATGCTTCGATGAACGCCACGACCTCCTTCAGACTTGGGAAATCTTTAAAGTCTCCCAATTTTAATTCCCACTGTTTGTGCGTCTCTGGATCTAACGATAACCTTAGCAGGTGAACGATCAATTGTTCGGAGATGTTCTCTAGTGTCAGTCCCGTTACATCCTGCAGCGGGTCTAGTGTCTCTAAAGCTGCTGCTCCATTGGCACCAAAGAGGATTGACTAAAGTAGAGGCTCCGTTCTCCAGGGGCAGGTGACTCCAAGCTGAAATAGTGAGTGCCCCATGGGAGGAATGGCGCCACGGTCGATTTAGGCCTCTGGGCGAGCTGGCTGTGCCGGTATATAACTCGTCAGTAGCAGTCCCGCTGTCACAGGAACAAGTTCAAGGAGGTATCTTTGTTCTCCTTTTGCTTAATGTTTTTTTCATGTTTTTCAGCGATTATAAATTATAAATAAGGTCGAAATACATAATTTAAAATTGAATAATCATTAAAAACGTTTATTACGAATGTTTTTCAGTATGTAGATAAGAGTTGAGATGGGGGATATAAAAGACACCGCGTGTTTTTTTTATCTATAATATTTTTCATATAATCAACTATGAAAGAATAAAAAATTATTAGCGTTAAAAATATAGGCATCGAACAAAAAGAAAACTGACTTTAATATATATATTTTCATGGTCGAATTAAATTTATTAGGATTTCTTATATTCATGTTTTTTTTATTCCTTTTTTACAACTCCTTAAGTTATTAATTACATTAAAAGAAAATTGAGAAATGAAATTTTAATTGTAAACAATTAAAATTATCTGAGCAATGGGGCAAACATATTCAATAAGGCTCCATTGGCTCTAATGAATATGTATCAGAAAAGATGGTATACGAATAATATAACGCGCCAGTGTGCCGCTAGCGTCTGAGACCCTCATGCTTGAGTTATCAGTTCGATTCCCCGACAATCTAATTTTTTTTTCCGGAATATTTTTTGAAAACATTTACATTATTTAAAAAGAAGAAAGGAGCGGAAGGATAATCAATCATGTATTTTCTTACTGAGTTTTATAAATTATAAATATTACTCAGCGCCATTGAAATTACATTTCGCAGAAAATTATTACTTTTTTGAACATTCGTTATTCACAAATACATAATTGAAGTGATTTTGGGGAAGGCTTGAGACCAGATCTACCGTCATCGGGATTTAATTGAGTGGTGAGCGGTGGATTTATTGTAAAGTGTCTCACGTGAGGCTGAAGCTGGCGGGAGCAGTTCAGTGGGAGATGGGTATAGTTTGTGAGGCGAACTGTACGGCCCCCACGGTAGCCGCTCGCTCAACGCTACATCGGTAGCCACGAGTTTAAACCT